CATCCATGTCACATATTGCAGAATTTCCTTCTTCATTTAAGATGTAGTAACATTTCATTTTATGTGCATACCACATTTTCTTTATCCATTCATCTGCCTGTGGGCATTCAGATTGTTTCCACATCTTGGTCATTGTGAATAATACTGCAACGAACATGAGAGTCTTAATAATCTAAGAGTCTGATTTTATTTCCTTAGAGTGTGTGTGTGTGTGTGTGTGTGTGTGTGTGTGTGTGTGTGTGTGTACTAAGCAGCAGGATTGCTGGATCATATGGTAGGTCTAGTTTTAATATTTTAAATGCCCTCCATGCTGTTTTCCATAGTGACTGCACCATTTTGCATTCCTACCAGCAGTTTGCAAGGGTTTCCGTTACTCCAGGGCCTCACCAACACTTTGTCTTTTGTTATTTTTGTAATAAACAGCCTAAGAGGTGTAAGGTGACATCTCCTTCAGGTTTTGATTTGCATTTCCCTGCTGATTAGTGATGTTGAATATCTTCATATACTTGTTGGCCATTTGTATTTCTTAGGTTGCTTTTTTACTCTGTTAATTATTTTCTTATGCAGATGCTTTTTAGTTTGATGTCCTCCCACTTGTCTATTTTTATTTTTGTCACATAAATTTTTATATTAATGATTTCTATTAGTTATATAACACTATATATATATAGTGTTTGAAGTGATTGGATTGATATTTCCAGAATATTATTTTCTGTCCATTATATATCATACCACATAACTGAAGTCGATATTGGTTTCATTTTATTTTTTTAAAAGTCAAATTTTACAACAGCTGATTTACTTCGGCGAAATTAAGATAAACTTGTGAATTGATTCATTTTCAAAGTTAAAAAAACTGTGTAATTTTACCTTAGAGAGATGGTTATCCCCATGGGGAGAAATGCCAGATACAGGTGACAGGGAGATGGAGGCAGCAAACCACATTGCCATGTATGTACCTATGCATCAGTCTTGCATATTCTGCACATGTACCTCAGAACTTAAAGTGCAAGAAAAAAAAAAATATATATATATACACATATATATATGTATATATGTGTGTGTGTATATATATATGTATATATCTAGACCAAAAAAAAAAGAAAGAGAGAGAGATGGTTATCCCTAAAACCTGTCTTTGACAAGTTATATTATAATCTCTTAAAACTTTCTTTAAAATTTCAGATTCCCTAGGCCTGAGTTCAGACATCAAGTATCAGAATCTTGCGCAGCATGTATTGCAGAATTTGTGTATATTTACTGGTTCCCCATTGATTGGATATGCTCCTAGGAGTTTGAAGAGCCACCCCTTTTACTTTATTAACAAAGAATGAAACAAGACTAGAAACTTTTGCTCTCCTGGGTCCTACTGAATTACCTCTGAATGCTGCTTCTAACTTGGCTAAAGACATGCAAGGACACAGACTATAAGAAACATTGCAATGGACTAAGTGTTCCCTTCAAAATTGCTGGAGTTTTCCCTGTTTCAGGACCATCTATCTTACATGCTTCTGTCAAGTGTGCATTTTATATTAGTTTAAAGGAAACAGCAGTACTTATGCAGATGTATGAGAGCATATGGTCAGGATTTAGATGAGTGAATACTTACACCTGGAAATCAAATATTAGTACAGGCAGACCCCTCTGCTTGCCCAGGGCAGCATCCACTGAACAGGGCAAGGGAGAGAGCTGCCAGATCAAACGTAATCCAGATGTCTCTTCTACCTCTTCCTCTTCCCCATACAACCTTCCACTGTTTTCTTTGTCCTTTGGCAATGTTTCTAAGTTTTTAAAGGAGAAATGAAGCCCAGAAAATAGAGAACTAAATCTGTTTTTAAAGCAGAACAAACATATTACCCACTGAGCAGTAAAAGCTTTTTTTTTTTAGCCTTTTAAGAGGTTTTATTTTCATTATCTTTTTCAAGAACATATCAGGTGTTTGTAGTAATCCTTGGTCAAAGATTTAGAACAGTGTCCTTTTTAGCTTAATTTTCCTGTTAACTAGGGCAACTTTTGAGAGACTGCTATCTCAGATATCGTAGCGTGTCAGTAATGCCCAGCTGCCTGCACTGATTCTAACTTTTACATAGTGTTAACTGTCCATTTATTGCATTTTATACTCAAATTGAGCTTGTTGCTTGGGGTAGTTAGTTCACAAGTAAAGGTTCTTGTTTTATCTTTTCAAAAACACTTTTTCCCCTTAGGCATGTCATGCAAGCACTTTGTACTTTAATATCTATATATACTTCAGAGAGATAAAAGGAGGATACAGTGTTGTAAATATGTTGATACTTTCTGATCACTCTGAAGCAGTAATTCATCATTCAAAATCTCCTATATAAAGATAGCTTTGTAAAACAGGCCAGAAAGCAGAGTTGGGTGTGGGAAGGCAGGGAAAACTGTCCAGGAATGAAGGCCTGAAATGAAACAAATTTGAAATTTGTCAGTACACAAGAAGTCCTCTAAACAGAAAAGAATAGCTGATAGTCTTACAAAGAAGGAAGAAAAGAAGAAAACAGGATGGAGAAAGAGAGAGAGGAAGGAAGAGAGGGAGGAAGGGAGGGAGGAAGAGAGGTAGGGAGAGAGGGAAGGAAGGAGGGAGGGAGAGAGGAAGAAATGAAAAAGTTTGCTTTATTGGCCCATGATTGTTTTTCACAGTATGTGGAACAAATGTTCACATAGAAGCAGACTTAAATTGAGAAATGGCAGATTCTGGTGATTAACTTTTTTTCCTGCATAACCTATAAACACAGCATTTGATGGAAAGTTATGAGGTAGTGTAGTCAAACTTTTATTCAGTTATTGTTACTTGGCCTTGTTCTCATTAACACCTTGCTCCTGAGATTTTCCAAGTTTCTTATTCACTGTTTGATATATGACTTTTAAGACTTTTTGATTATTCAAGAGCTAAGAAAGCTATCCACAGTCTTTAAATTAGGTCATTATATTTATTTTATAGACAATTATTTATCAAGAAAAGGGTAAAAAAAAAAAAAGGACAGAAAAATAAGTTGGTTAGGAAATGGCTCATGCTGGTAATCCCAGCACTTTGGGAGGCCAAGGCAGGTGGATGACTTGAGCCCAGGAGTTTAAGGTTGCAGTGAACTGTGATTGCACCACTGC